AGCAGCTCCGTGCCTGATCACAACCGCGTGCCAATGTATTCCTCTGCCCCATTCTGTGTTCCTGAGCTCAATGTCCTAAGCGAGTTGATACGGGACCTGCTCGACAGAGCTTTGAAAAACAATACCAGTCTAACCGTTACCAAGAGGGCGATAATCTGTGACTACAGAATGACCCCAGCAGTGATATGTCAGTGATGTGCTAGAACGTTATAAATAGTGCTAATTTCTAACTGAACGCCATTAGGCTGAAGAAGAGCTCCATGGCTTATATAATCATAATAATTCATCTACCCTCACCTCTACTCATCTCTCTCTCCGGACACATTCTGCACATTAACTAATTATTGATGACACTTATTATCTCTCCCTCTCTAAGCACACTTGCTCTGTTTTACTTTTTTTTTTGGTTTTTAGTCAGTTATCCAGTACATGAGCTTATTGTGATATAAATTCTTAAACACTATAATTCTAAACATATTTTAAACTGACATAACTGCATCAAGGATACCATTACATGCCATAGAATTCCTATTACTGTATATTGTCATTTATAAATAGTCACTGTTTGTAATTAAGTTTAATGTTCTCTTGTATAATACATAATAAACGAGAGTACATTAAAATGAATAAAATAATAATAATTTTATTTTTTATTTTTAATGTTCTCTTTTAGAATGAATTATTATAACGAGAAATAAAGAGAGAAAGAAACAAAATATAAATCACCTGCCACAAGTTATAGTAACGTTTGTGTCAGTATCTTCAAAAAACCTGTTATTGTTCATTGGAGACTTTTCTGCACTGATACTAGAGCATTTTGGTTGTTTTGCTGCATGTACAGTGAGGCGATGACATCTTGTCAAAAATACAGTGAGAGAAGTTTCCAGAGTCTCCAAAGCGAGTCACAAACCGAGACTTTTATATAAGCTGTCATTCTCCCGGCTGTGTGTCTCCTGTGCTAAGCACTGGGATGCAGAAAACAGCAGCTGTTGCTCAAACACTTCCCTGCTTCACACACACTGGCACAGACTTTCATAAAGGCTAAACACTTGTACTTTTACATTTAATTGAATGACAAAGAATAGGAAGGGAGTCAACTCAGCTGCAGAGGATTTGACTATGGATGTAGTCACACACGCTTGTCTGCACAAACAAATGCATGCACACCAACAAACACATGGATGCTGCTCATTTAGTGACTCTTTTGGGACTAAAAGCAGAAAGCCTCCAGTTACCAGCTGGCAGCTCGAAACATAAAGCCATCTGCTACCAAATATACTTTCCCCCACCAGTACATCTCTGAACAAAAAAATAAATCACACATGAATATCAGTTAATTAACATAAATATCTATAACAATGTGTCAGCATTCAAAAATAACAAGTTGAAAGGTTCCATTGATTATTAGTGTTGAAGTGTCTTTTCCAAGTGTCTTTGACAATCAAAAGTTAGAGTTTGTTAGGGCAACCAGGACACACAGACGGCACACATGCCTCTGCAGATTCGGACAGACATCGCAGTGGGAGTGTGTGTGGGCTGCTTTGTGGTCTGTTCATCAGACTCCTCCTTTGATTCTGATATGTGCTCGTTATAAGATCCCCCATACTGGCCACTGGCAAACTAATGACTCTCTCGTTCTCTCTCCCACACACAATTCTAATTCTCTGCTAATTCTCTGAATATTGCACAATGCCCCGCTGTGCTACAGTTTAGCAGCATTGATTAAGCTGATCAGCAGACAGACGAGCGAAACTTCAAAAGCATTGTGACAAGTGACGCAGCATCCTTACATCAGCCACAGGATTGAGCACACATTTTAATGGGGGTTTTACACAACTACAGAAATATTTTAGATGTTTCTTATAGGCAGATAGTCTAAGAGAGATGGTGATGTGGGTGATGGTTCCCTGGTAACTGTGCCATTGTGAGCGCCATGGAAAGAACCTTCAATTATTGACACACAACGACTCACAACTCACGCAGTTATCAGCATCATTCTCTCCAGTGAGTAAAAATAAATTTGTCTAAGTCAGTGTCGGACTACTTCCAGTGGCATTATGTGGTATTCATCATATTGATAAGTGCAAAGTTCAGCTTTGCTTTTCTCCCAAGGTGCTGAAAGATACATTAAACCCCATTGATACTACAATTTGAGTCAATTCCTATGGAAATTAAAATGACATGCCATGATCCCAGCCAGTCCCCAAACATACAAAAATCAAACTGGGGAAACCAAAGAATTCTCAGGCAATTCATTTTAATGGTTTAATTCAACCAACGATGATGTTTCATAAGATATGATTGGTCGAAACCCTTGTTGTAATGATCTATCATTAAAATAATGAATAAATAAAATCTTATTATTGTCAGTTGTGATGTGATCTTTTTTAACCTGGTTAAAACCAGACCATTCTCAGTTGTAACTGAGTTATGGTCTGGCAAAGCGTCATAGACAAATCATTTCCAGAGGGGCGTCACCAACGGACGTCGCGGATAGACCTAAACCCAATCAGAGCGATGAAGGAGATGACGTATGCAGAGCGGCGGAAAAACATCTCCGAGTGTTGTTCTTTGCTCGGTTTTTAACTAAAAGGAAACGTTCAAATCGCTTAAAACAGACGCGATAGCTGATTCGAACGAGTGATGTTCGACGGCGGCATCCATCTTTGTAATGTAGGCTACAAAATCTGCTTCAAAATCCCAGCGCTGTCGTCATCGTGTAAAGCCCGCCCCCAACGTTTCTGATTGGTGCCGCGATTTCGACGGATTGGAAATGAGCTGGAATGAGCTCTTTGCCAGACTAACTTTCAGAGCAAATCTAAATTTGCCGGAAGTTGTCTGGGTTTTCCCAGGCTAGATCTTTCTTGGATGATCTCTCAAAACAATTAGGTGCACGCTGACAATAGAGGGCGCCATTTGGGATCAGAATGTCCCATGACAGGCTGTCCATCATGCTACAATGCTGAAGGCTATCCGCTCAAGTCTTCTGCACAGTAATGATATATTATACTGACAACCAAAATGTGCTAAGTCTGATTAAATATTTAGTCTAAAGGTGTCACAGGTGATGCAATTGTTGGCGACCAGTGGCAGAATGCTCAGGGCTTTGTTTAAAGCCAAAAGCCAATCCTGCTGCTTCAGCTGTTATAGCTCTTCTCTCTCCCTGTTGAGAACCCACAGAGAACTGGCTGTGTCTCCAGGCATTTCATTCTTTTCTCAGTGTTTGTGTGTGAGTGCGTGTAACAGGGTGAAACAGCAGCATAGCGACACACTTTCCTCTGTGAAACTGGGTTAACACCCAGCCAGAGACAAAGAGAGCGCGAGGAAGGATGAGGAAGAGTGAGAAAACCAGACACACACACACACACACAGAGAGAGAGAGAGAGAGAGAGATACATGAGACTTTCACTCTAGGGGATTCTACCAGTTCACACAGTGGGCATCATGGTCACAGAATCAAAAAGGCGCCATCATGCGCATTAGTCTGATGTGATTGAGTCGGTCAGAGATAACGAAACTGAGAGATTTGTATTATTGTTAAAATCTCTCCGCGTGAACTGTGACAGATGCTCAGGCTTTTAGTTTCTTTCCCCCATGTTCAGTGCCCCAAAATGTCTGTATGTTTTCTGTTTTATTGTCAGATTGGAGAGGGGAGTCTGTGCAAGTATCTGAGGGGGATTGTGTGCCTGTTCTGTGGTGATATGCACTCTGCTTCTAAAGAGCTTAAAAGGCAACATTTTAAGAACTGGATCCAATTTAGTTTTTAGATAAAATATACATTTGCATTCTGTGCTGCATATGGGCATAGGCATATTCTTTGAGAGAAAGGCATAACAGATCTTTGTCACAGAGAGCAGGGTTTACCGTATTAATAATCCGTAATAATAATAAGAAAATGTGTATTAATCATTAAAGCACAAGCTACAGAAAGAGACCACAGGGGCTTGAGAATCAGGTCCTGATAGCCCAGTTAGCAGAGTGGCGATAAGAGTAAAGAGAAACCAATGGTGAATTGGCAAGAAACGACTTTCTGCCTAAAACTACACTAATCTATATGTAAACATCAAGACTTATCTAATCTAAACGTCAATCAGTCCATGTCAAACCACCATCAGCCAATGCCTCAGGACATTCCAAAAATCACCACTGAATCACTCATCAGTCACACACACACACACACACACACACACACACACACTGCACACTCACATAAACTGTTGTTTAAGGTGTTTGATGTTTAAATTAATTTTCTCACCGCAAAAGCATTACAGTACCTACATACACAGAATCATAAATGGAACAAACATTCACATAGGATATAATCATACAGTTTTGTTTGGAGCAAGCTGTTCAAACAGCCAAAGCTGTTTTAGTTAAGACTTTTAATAACACAAAATACATCATATAATTTAACCTCTGTATCTAGAATTAACAAAAGCATTATATAATGAATGCAATCAGAGACCTGTCCATGTTCCTTCAGACCGCCCCACTTCATATTCTGTTTAACCATATAACTTGAGTAAAATATTTTAAATGGAACTGTAATAATTTGATTACATATATGTTTCTCGAGATGAAAGAACGTTGATTTACATATTTTGTTTTTCCTAATGTTAATTTTAAAGTGCATACGGAATGGGATAAACAGGTTTAGCCATTTTGCTGGTGTCTTTAATTACCATTAATGCTTCTTTCATATGCTTTTGCAGCTCATTCTGAAAGGGTGAAAAGGGATCTACAAAATTATATAGCCTACAAAGACAATAACACAAACCTGGAACATATTCATCGTGGAAAACATTACAGGACAATTTGAGTTTTCGTTGGGACTGGGAGTAACACCATACCGTCACGAATACGAGTCTTTGGACATGGTCTCAGTATATGTACTACTCACACAATGAACACATACATCGCAATTCTCTGTTGTGACATAAGGAACTCTTTCTTTTCTAACTCTTTCGTGTCATACTTATGTGCCTTCACTCGCAACTCACCGTTGAAGTTCCAGGGCGCGAGTCCCTCTGCTCCAGTGCTGTTAGTTACATTCATGTTGCATGATTTTAAAAATGCTCAGCCAGCCAGAAGAAAAAAAAAATAGAAAAAGAATCCACACTTCCTCTTTCACTCCGTCAAGTTTGTCCTCAATATTATTAGAAGGGCTGTCCTCATGTTGCGCGGGATGACTTTGTTTTTCACATCATGCGTTCTTGACGCGCGCGGCTCTCGCCAGAGGGGAGAAGCTCATTATGACTCTGACCATCGTGACTGGCGGCTCACCTAAACACACCTCGGGCGCGTGGTTTTCTCTAAATCAACTCAGTTTACGATCCGCCAGATGTGGCTCCCATCTGCGCGAGCGGCTCTGATCTCTTTCCAGGAGTTTAGCGCGCGCGACTGAGGAAGCGGACTTTCAATGATGTCATCTACCCCCAGCCAATCACCTGAGAGTCCGCATGTTTCACTGAATCAACCTATAGCTTATACTGTCCTGTGATGTGCTTTCAGCCCAGCACTGTCTGTTCTAACAAAGTCTGAACCATCCTTCCAGATAAATAAATTTACTAATAATCGTTTTACAGATTGGCAGATAGACCTCATTACAGGATATAACTTGTCCTAGGCGGAGGGCGAATCAACTACATGCTAAAACAACGTGTGAATTATGGTGGGTTTAACTAGCTTAGTCACGTCTTGAACACTTTGGGTAAAAAAAAAAAAAAAAGGTTGAAGGGTATTTTTGAGAAGTAGGCCCCGCAACACCATATGCACATGTATTTCACAAATTACAGTTCTTTTCTGCGACGTAAAATAAAGTAGTTGTAGGCTATGCCACTGATCAAACGTCATGGAGGGGAATCTGAGCAGTCGGAATCCCACATCATCTGAGGACAGTGGTCATATACTCAAATTATGCACGCGGTCGAGGGAAGGCTAAGCTTTCCCCAGCCAGTACACACGCTCCGGCCTATGTTTCTTGTGTCTGTACATCGGTGTAATTGCTTATGATGAGTGTGGCTCTCAACATGCGAGGCTCTTGAGCGCAGTGCACAGGTTCAGCACCACCGCTCGTGGACAGCGCTCAACAGCCCGAGCTTTTAGCGTTCTTCCAAAAATATCACGTTATAAGCTGGGAATAAAAAACATGCTTCGTACTTTTTATAGTTTCATGTTTTCCCAAAACATCAGCAAAGTTGCTATAGATAAATAAACCATTCCATATAGAGCGAAAGTAGAGGGGAAGGGATGGGGTGTTTTCTTCACTTTAAGAACTATCCACCTCCAGAGATTTTGAAAACAGCTGAATGGTTGCTGTCTGTCGCTAGTGCGTGAACTGGTACCAGAGCAATGAATGACAAACGCACGCGCTCAAAGCCGCCGGGGCTGTGTGTTCTGTGAGTGTGTAAGTGTGTGTGTGTATAGTAAAAAGGCAGAAAGAAAGAAAAAAATATATATCACGGAAAGGGTGATTGGGAGATAAGAGCATTTGGGAGCTTGTATAAGGTTTATGAATGACAGTTAAGCATCAATACATCCCTTCCTCGCCCCCATCAGCCCCTCTCGGCAGATTCGGAGGGCTTGCACCCCAGACTCAAAGATTAATCGGGCAGCTGTCTCACAGCAGACAAAAATTAGACTGATGCCAGCCAAAACAGAGAAATCGCGCACAGAAAATCATTTCAATGGCAGCACAGAGCGGAAACCTGACAGCCACTGACAACCCGGAACGAAATCATCTAAACCATATGCAGGCGGAACGTTCTTTCAGTCAGCGCGCGCTCCGCCGCAGATGAGCAGCGCTGCTAATTAAAGTACACAAGCGTAAAATTTGGAATAAAGAAAGCGCGTGCTGTAACTAAGTTTACAAATGTGTAGGCAATCAGTTCGCCTTGTCTTTATTTGGCTTTGCCCAAATTACAATTTGTCATTTGCGCGTGCCAGTTATGCAAGACGACAAAATGTCGTCAATTATTTCGGAGAGACGCAGCTCTCACGATTTATTTATTTATTTGATTGATTGACTGATCGATTGTAATGTAGCCATTTAATGAGGCCAGGTAAATGGCTGTCATAATCAAACAGTTCAACACTAGCAAAAACCTGCGTGCATTTCCCCCTCCCCCCATGCGTGACAAAAAAGAAGATATTTTAACAATGAAAGAATGCTGGTGACCATTTACCTCCACTGCATGGAAAAACAAAATATCTCAAAATATCTTCTTTTACGTTTCAAAGAACGTCATACAGATTTGGAACATCAACCTTTAAAAATATTTAATTAATGCCATTTCATTAGATAAAATAACAAACCAAGTTAGAACTCATTTGATATTTTACTATAATGCAGTGGTTCCTGATGCTATTTTTGGGGCACTGTGGATGATTTTAAATGGTGAGTTATTCTATTTTATAAAATTCTGAGATATCAAAGAAAGACCTGTGTATTGAGAATAGCCCATAGGTCTTTAAGAACAGTAGCATGCCTAAAAAATACAGGAACATAAAAATGTAGACCTGGAACTCAAATAAAATGAATGACTTATACAGGGAGGATTTAGCACATGGATGAGGTGCTGACACCGCACCAACACACACATAAAGAAATAACACATTTGTTAGATCGATCACAGGCAGTAATCCTCAGGATTATGTTGTTGAAGTCATCATTTTGAACTGACACTAGAGACAGAGCATGTAATTAGATGAGAGAATCCTCTTTATAATTATACTCACCAACACTATGAGCTTTTGTCACAACAGCTATTTTGTGTATGGAAGTGAAGAAATTTCGGCATCTAAGCCCTGTCTGTGAAAGCAGGCCTTAGTATATTTGTCCAGCCTAATATTTACACCCACGGTAGGCCAGCCAGTGGCTTTAGCTCTGATTGATCAAAGAAGTGATGCAATTAGGTCACATGATGTGCCAGAAGGAGAGACAGTGAAGTGATAGATGTGGCTGTGTTTAGGTTTTCATCATCAAGGCCATGAGATCCTACTGGAGCCAGGCATGCTGGGACTAAATGATTTTAATGGTGCATAATATTCTAGCAGATAAAGAGAAAAAGAAAGAGAGATGAAGAGAGAGAGAGAAAACATGGCCTTTCAGGACACTAATCATGTTTAATTTCAGGTGAGCAGGCTTTGTCAAATTGGTGATTCCTTACCAAAAGCAGTTCTGCTATAGACCCTCTGCACAGCTTTGTTAGACATGGTAGGCTGTTCCCATATATTGCTATATGCAGTGGGTTCACATGGCTATGTCACATTTATAGGATACAATTATAATAGAATATTTTCCTAGTATATTCAAACCTCATAGGATGAAAGCGTGAGGAGGCGTGTGCATGTGTGTTCCTCTCAAAGGCAGAGATGCTCTGCTAAGAGCAAAGAGGGAATTCAGTTACATTCATAGAGCAAAAGTACATCTTTCACAGCACAGCTTCACTAAATTCCCAGCAGCCCTTCCTACAGAGCGGCCAATCTGTTTCCATTAGCTGAGCAGGTACAGGCAACAATTAAAGCAGATAAAAACATGATGTGCTAAGTGACTTGGATGATTAGTCTGTTATTAAGATAATGTGTGTTTCGTGGCACCAGTAATCCACAGGGAGAAAGGATTCACCACAACGACATCAAACAGCACCACAGAGAGAACATTAACAGTGAGAACTTCTGTAACATCACCCACTCACCTCCCATATCCTCATCTGTAAAAAGAGGAAGAGACACACACAGAGAACAGCTATTTAGTTTTAACACAACAAATGAACAAAATCCCTAGTACAAGAGTTTTGATATTAGCTACATTTGTAATTCACAAATTTAAACTTTTAATTTTAAAACTGCATTTTGATATATTTTTACTTAAGACAGATTCATTTAAACATCCTTTGGGAATCAGTCCCTCTGCAGCTCATAGTCTCTAAATTTGGCAGGAAATTAAAATATCACATCACCATCCCTCTTAAAACAAACACATTTATTGCAGTTTGTTCATTTAGGTTTGCTTATGTGGTAGCTATTTTGTGCAGAGAAGCTGCACAAAGACCATCACAGATCACCACACAACATTACTTTATTAAAAAGACAAATAAATCACTGTGAAAAAAACCCATCTAAGGGTACAACAGCTTGTCACTGGGGCAAAAGCTTACACCCTTTTACCCTAATGGCACATATTAGTAGAGAGACAATTCACTCAACCTGGTTCCAAATCTGTTATGTCCCAAAAGACAAATTCTTCAAAATATTTTTCTTTTGTCTTCTGGGACATAACAGGTTTGGAACCAGGTTGAGTATATATGTATATACTGTGTGTATATATATATATATATATATATATATATATATATATATATATATATCACAAACGAAAGTACATAGACAGACAGACAGTGACACACACACACACACACTATTATTTGGTAAATATTTGGTAAATAAGACACTATAAGAAACCTGAGCCATTTTAATTCTTGAAGAGTTTAAAATATTTGGTTGAGGCTGTTTACTTGTTTATAGGTTTTTTATGTAATGTGTTTGCTTAAGGCTGTAAGTGACTGTTGCAGGTAGGAGGAAGAGATACAACATTTTATTCCAATCTCCGAAAAGAAGCAGAGTTCAAATATTGCACATGGCTAGCAAAAAGACAGAGAAGGTCCTCACTGCAGAACACGAAATCCATGGGGAGGAGTTGGATCCAGATCCAACTCCTCCCACCTTACATATACCTAAACCTACCCATCTCCACCCCCTGATCCCTAACCCCACCCCTAATCCCATCTCCACCCCGATCCCTAACCCCACCCTTAATCCTACCCATCTCCACCCCCTGATCCCTAACCCCACCCCTAATCCCATCTCCACCCCGATCCCTAACCCCACCCCTAATCCCATCTCCACCCCGATCCCTAACCCCACCCCTAATCCCATCTCCACCCCGATCCCTAACCCCACCCCTAATCCTACCCATCTCCACCCCGATCCCTAACCCCACCCCTAATCCCATCTCCACCCCGATCCCTAACCCCACCCCTAATCCCATCTCCACCCCGATCCCTAACCCCACCCCGATCCCTAACCCCACCCCAATCCCTAACCCCACCCCTAATCCCATCTCCACCCCGATCCCTAACCCCACCCCAATCCCTAACCCCACCCCTAATCCCATCTCCACCCCGATCCCTAACCCCACCCCTAATCCTACCCATCTCCACCCCCTGATCCCTAACCCCACCCCTAATCCCATCTCCACCCCGATCCCTAACCCCACCCCTAATCCCATCTCCACCCCGGTCCCTAACCCCACCCCTAATCCCATCTCCACCCCGATCCCTAACCCCACCCCTAATCCCATCTCCACCCCGATCCCTAACCCCACCCCTAATCCTACCCATCTCCACCCCCTGATCCCTAACCCCACCCCTAATCCCATCTCCACCCCGATCCCTAACCCCACCCCTAATCCTACCCATCTCCACCCCCTGATCCCTAACCCCACCCCTAATCCCATC